AATAAGCTATGTTCTAATACAAACTAATGCATAATAAGACACTACGCAGCCATGAATAAAAACTGGGGTAGATGTCAATATTCACCCATGTGCAACAACTCCAACATTTAAATATTAGAAGAAAATGTACAACAGGGTATATAATATGCTCTTATCCATGTTAAAACAAAAGACACATACGTTATACTGAACCAAACGAAAATGCCTTATTCTGACTTACAAAAATGGCAACTTCATCTGGTTCAAAGTAATAAGTGTTCACATAGGCATAAAATATTACAGAAATGCATAAGGATGTGAAGAAAGGGATTAGGGCAGGGGTCTCAGGTGGGCGAGAGTTTTCAGTTTATCCTTTTGTACTCTAACTTTTTATGATGTGTATTTGTTACTGTTTTTTAAAAACGGGGTGCACCTCAAAGATTGATTGATAAAGTAACTCCTTCCTTCAAAATCAAATTCAGCATTTTTTTTAAAAGCAAAATAGAGACCATACAAGTAAGAGAACAGAGTGAGGAACAACTCATCAACCAATACACATACTAAAAATGCCCCACATACACTAAGATTTTTTAAAATTCTCACAAAAACATACAATTTACTTGATTTACACCTCAGACCTCAATTCAGAAACACACACACACACATAATCATTTAAAATCTAGCTGCCTGCTACTATTCACAAGTTGGGAGCTAATACCCATATAAGGGTATACCATATAAGGGTAGTTAAATACCAAAGGGTCAGAGTAAATACCAAGTTTTAAATTCTACACTCTTCCTAAGTAAATTTAAAATATCCAAGACTAAGCTTTCCCCTTTTCCAATTAAATTTCCTATTACACAGTTTATCCCATCCCACCAAAGAATTCAAATTTCCATACACAAGTCCCACTGAGAATGAATTAAACAGTAACCCTAATCATCTACTTTGTATAACTATTGCAACCACAGAGGTTACAGATGCCTGATTGCTTTTTCTAGATTCTGCTCTAATCTGAAAATTTCAAATTACCTCAATTAAAAGCATCACTCTAAGATGCCCTCGACCTCTCAAATTCTATTTTAAAAGTGGACTTATAGAAGACCAGAAGATAACGGACATCTCATCCTAAGCCAGGCACTCTGGGATACACTGCACACGTGCTCAGCGTGAAGGACTGGCAGGAACGAGCTAGAGTCCACCCTCCCCTCCCTCGCCCCAGCCCCGTTCTGTGGGTTTCCTGGAGTCGCACACCTCCAGAGAACGCTAAGCGTTCTGACTGGCTCTGGGCCTCACCTATATCCACCCAAAGGTGGTCAGATTTACAAACTGACTACTTGGCATTAAAACCTCCACCACCACGCTGACCATTTCTGAATGAAACATATTCCCCACAAATACCTCACCTCGGGCTCCCAGCCTTAAAATATTTTTATTTCTTCCCTTTCAAGATTATTTTTCACTTACTTTATCCTAATGCTTGGTGTTTCTTTTCATCTTATGCACACTATTACACTTTGTATCAGATATGCATAAAAGTATAGAGAATAACATTAACATAAACAATACCGTGTACCAGCTTAGCAAGACCTTAACATTTTGCCATATTTACTTCAGATCTTTTTGCCAGGTTTGTTACAGGTGACACCCATTGTGAACCATCTTTCCCAGCTCCAATCCCTTTTCCTCCCTCCCTCCCCAGAGACAGCCACTCCATTGGTATTTTAACATGCCCATGCACTTCAAAAACACTGTTACTACATACTATGTATTAATTATGTGTATGCATATCATTGCACATTTCAAAACATCATATAAATGGCATCATACCGTACAAATCATTCTGCAACTTGCTTTTTCACTCAACATTGCATTCATTTTAAGTGCTGCACAGAATTCCATTGTATGAATATACCATAATTCATTTTATCCATTCCCCTACAGATGGACTTTTAGGTTGCTTCCATTTCTTTACTCTTAACCACAACGCTCTAGTGAAGGCTTGCACACATCTTCTCGGGTAGCCCAGAAGTGGGCAGGAGAATACACGTCTTCACCTTGCCACACGGCTCTCCACAGTGACTGCACGGATTTATACATTTCTCCCGCCGAGTATGAAAGTTTCCTTTGTTCCACGTCCTCTCAAACACTTGGTGTTATGAGGTTTTAAAATGTTTGCCAATCTGATGGGTACGAAAGAGAGACTCACAGTTTTTAATCTGCATGTTCTGTAAGGATAATCATGTTTATTGACTATTTAGACCATTATTTTAATTTTTTTCAACTTTCACATTGCGGTTTGAACCTGTGCATGGTGATTCATCGTAGAGACTGTGCATCCACCTGGGTTCACACCCACCCAGTGAGTGGCTGAGGACGCTGCCTGACCGCCTGGGCCTCAGGTCCCTCATCTAGAAAGACACAGCAGCGCCCATCTCACAGGGCTGGGAGGGTTTTGAGTTAACACAGGAAAAGCACTCAGAACAGTGCCAGGGAGGCTGGATGCTTCACCCTCAGCTGCTTGCCCAGATTCCCGTGACAGATCCACCAGCCCTCAGAGACGAGGGCTTCAACACCTCTCAATCCTGGTAACTCAGCTAAACTGCATGGGTCATCCTGGGTCAAGGGCACATCTGAATCACTGGCAGTGTGTTCTTTTCTGAAGTCATATCATCTACTCACTTGATAACGAGTTACGTGCATTGCAGATTCAGGAAACATTATCCCTCCATTATTGAGCAAGTCATGTAAACAGTGAACAAGGTGGGAAACACCAGTAAAACCAGGGTGGCATCATGCTTCTGACATTAAACAAGCATCCAGCACATCCTGGTGACTGCCTAACAAGAAAATGCTGCTGACCTGCCTCTACAGGAAACTGCTATGGTGTTGACCCACAAAGCTAGACCGTCAGCTGGGAGGTACAAGGATGGATGCACAACCCTACTCTTGACTTTGACCTCACCAGGCTACCCGGCTTCTGTATTTTTGCTTTGATGCACCTCCTTCAGAGCAGTTTTAGCAGGCTCCTGCTTGAGTGTCTAGCATTCAACACTCATAAAAGAAGGCAGAAACCCCTCATTTGCCTCTCAGCTCCTGTGCAGAGGGGATGACCTTCAACCCACTCAAAAGTTTCACACAGGTGCCTCAATTTTCACAAGAGGCTAGTCAAGCTGCCAACCTGTTCACCTTGAGAGCACACAGAATGGCCTTCAAACAGCACAGGATATCTGCAAGTCTGGACCTAGCCAGAGGCAGTAATCTAAAGACATGTGCAGCCCATTTCTTGCCAGAACCAGTTGAGGACAGTGGTACTGATGGAAGACTGTGTCAAGCCCATCCATTCCTCTAGACTAGATAGCCTCGGTTATCCACGGCTTAAGCCATCTAAAAGCTGCATAACGTTTATACAGGAATATTCTCCGAGGTGGTGATTTTTTATTTTCTTCTTTTTAAACTCTTGTATTTTCCAAATTTTCTACCATGAGAAAGTGTTCTGTTTATAATAAAAGAAAAACATAAATGTTATTTTTGAAAACTGTATACTTGGAATACACCATACTCCCCACTCCCACCTCCCACACTCCAACATTAAGTACTCTCCCTGAAAAACAACTGGTAGCAGACTCTCTGCTCTTATAAGAACACTTAATTTGAAAAACTATTGATGAAAACCAAAACTGCACTCTCAGGGTGTGCTTATTTTGCTCTCAACAGGAATGCTGCTGAGATTGTTCTCTACCCCACCATTCAGTTCCTATTACTTGTAAGCCATGTAAGAAATTTCTTCCAGAACTAAACATCAGGAAAACAGTTTCACCTGAGAAACTGGTGTCCTCTTTCTTCATGGATAGTGAGAATTCTATAACTTGCCAGGTATTCTTTTTATTTTGGACAACAGAAAGGCAAGATGCAAATAGGAATTATAACTAATAACCAAGCAGGACCTTACACCTACGCAACTTTATTCTGAGGATCCCAGACTCTAACGTGGTTTTTTATAGTTTGTTTCTAGTATTTTTCTACTGAGTGGATGTATTCCTGAAGCAATCCTGTAACACACAGTTAAATGTAACAGTCTACAGTGCTCAATATTCATGCTTAATATTTAAGTCCTAAAAACTGTAAGCTGAGAGACAATAAAATCATGGGGGCACTGTCAATAATCTTTCTCAACTAATAAAATACAAGCTCAGTTCAACATGAGGAACTAAGAATTAACTACAATTTTACTCCCATAGTTAAATCATTAAACTTTTCTTCCCCTTACAAAGGACATTTACTTAAGTTTTATTCATACTAATACAGAGGAAACAAACACAGCAAGAATTCTTCCAGAACTATACAGATTAGCTAAGAGCAAAAGAAGGTAATATATTATAGGTGTTATAAACATAGACTATGCACCATCAGATAAGAGCTGTGTTTGAATCTTAGCATCACTACATCACAGCTTGAACAAAAATGGAGCAGGGTAGAACGAAATTCACAATTACTAATGGGATGAGTTTATCCACACGTAAAATATAGAAAATAACATTATCTACCTATTAAATACACCAAGTCGCTCAGTTGTGTCTGACTCTCTGCAACCCCATGGACTGTAGTCTGCCAAGCTCCTCTGTCCATAGGATTTCCCAGGTGAAAATATTGGAGTGGGTTGCCATTTCCTCCTCCAGGGGATCTTCCCAGCCCAGGGATTGAACCTACATCTCCTGCAGTGGCAGGCAGATTCTTTACCACTGAGCTACCTGGGAAGCCCTATTAAATGTGCTGTTGAGAATTAAATAACCTACATGAAGTGCTTAAACTAATGCAAAGCATATGCTATCCTCTCTATTAAAAAATCAGTTTCTGTCATTGCTGTTATTATATATAAAGCCTACAGAGCTCTCTTTTAACCATTTAACTATTTCTGCCAAAGAACTACTGAAGGATTTTCTTGCATAACTGCAAATACAAACATTTCTCAAAGATAGGTATTTAGCATAGCAGCTGAGTGATTAGGCACTCTACTTACCTGAATTGTCCAGTACGAAGAAAACAAAGAGCTCGGTTACCGTAAAGCAGGTGATTTTCAGGCCTTTAAAAAAAATAGTGTTTCATCAGTAAAGAACATTACATTTAAAACAAAAACATAACACAGAAATCATAAGGCAAGAAAAAATTTTCAAAACCTTCATATCTGTTTGGCAAAGCAGAAATGAATATAGGATTTGGAATCCTAACTGGCTAAGTCCTGGTTCCTTCACTTTCTGAGGGGCTTGTTCAAATCAACTCAACTTCTCTGTATTCAAAATGAAGACTAAAAGTTCTACTTTTTCTGTTGCACTCATGGGGCTGCTGAGAGGATCAAATGAGACATTAAAAAGCTAGCAAACTACAAGCATGTTGTTACTGCAGAGAACAGAACAATTTTATGTAAGTCAGAACTGTACCACCTTGACAAAGGACATCTGTAAACTACAACAGTAATTTACATAGCGTGACTTCAAGCTTTGTCCCATGTGGTTTTATCTTACTCCACCTATCTTATCTCCACCTCTTCCTAGAACAGACAGGAAAACTTTCAGATGTGGTTTGCTACCTGGATTCACTCATTCCCTGTGGAGATCTGGAAAGAGAGCAGCTGTCTACATCACACCCTCCTAAGGCAGCTACAGCATTAGGTAGCCCAGCAAAGATGTTGGTAAGAACCAAGAGAGGCACACGTGTAAGAATGTTACAAAATTCTAGCAGCTGGGCAAATAGAAGATGAGGTAGAACACATGTATTCTCTCAACAATTCCAACTCTTATCCTTTAGAAGTTTCCTTACAGAAAGCACAAATCCCTGAATGGGTGACATCTAGTAACTAATTCGTTAACTAATTAGTAAAGAATTGGTAACTAATTCTTTCTTATCAATCAATAATTTGGAAGGAATTAGAAGAAGGGAACATGAGTCCAAGAAAACACAGATGACTCTGTACTGGAAAGCCTGGGAACAAATGGGCAGGAAAGAAAATTCACAATTTCGCCTAACGGGCTTAAGTTCTATAACTTAAGTTCATTTATTCAGTTCATCTCATGTTTCTTATACCTACGGGTGAGAAAACATTCTGCAGAGCAAACTGAAGATACTCTCCAGTTCCTCATCTTTTGTTTCTTTCATACTGACTACTAGCATTCTAACGTGATCTGCCACATAGAAAGCATCTCAGTACTCCATTTTGCTCTTACCTACATTCAATGGCTCTGGTGTAATAGATAATAGCTATATCATATCTTTCTTTGGAAAACTCTTCATTTCCTTTCATTTTCATTAGTTCTCCTTGCTGAGAAATCAAAGTGAAAGAAGATTCATCAGTTACATTAAAAAAGAATCAGGAACCCAAAAACCTAGGGAAAATGGTTCTGGGTTTTTATCTTAGATATCAGAAATAATCTGGGGGATTACTTATGTAGAAAATGAGAATTCAATACCCAATATTTTGGCATACACATTTAAAGAAGCCTGTCTCTAATGACTCAGGGCTAACTTTGTTAAAAGGAATATTAAAAAGTAAACAAAACATTATGAATAGTATGAACAATTAATCCCCTGTGTACCATATTTGGCAGGTCCACTTTTAAATATACATTATGCCTGCATAGCAGGAAAAAAAATAGATTCAACGCAGAATTTTAATTTTAGGCTAGAAAATGTGATACTATTCAATAAACTTGGGTGCTTAAAAAATATATACATCAATAATATATAGGAAATGTTGATTAGACTAATTGCCCCTCAAAAAATGAGGTGACAAAGTTAGCAAAGATGAAATTAAAAAACACAGGAAAAAAAGGCATGAAATCAAATATGCTGTAATGAAACTTCAACTCAAACATTCATATTTTCAAAATAAACTATTATTTACTGGATTATGTCAATGACTTTATCTAGAGAGTTAGACAGAAAAGTAATTTCCTAAATCCTTTTCTAAAAATTTAGTTGTTAAAATCTTATTTCCTATGAGTAAATTGTATATCATATGAATTACAAGTCAATAAAGCAGATCCCAAAGAAAATCATACTCTCTCAATTAATTAAAAGCCTTTTAAATTAAATTTTAAAAAATCAAGCTTCAATTTTCAATTAACTCTTTTAAAATCTTTAATATAAAATTCTGGGACTTCTCTGGTTGTCCAGAGGTTGGGAATCCACCTCGCAACGCAGGGAACACTGGTTAGTTCCTGATCCGGGAAGATGCCATGTGCCTAGGGGCAACCAAGCCTGTGTGCCACAACGACTGAGCCTGCGCTCCAGAGCCTGTGAACCACAACTACCGAAGTCCACCCGCTGCCAACCACTGAAGCCTGCACACCCTCTGTGTGCTTTAGACAGGCACTGAAGCTGGTGGTTTGCAATGAGAAGCCCGCTCGCCACAACCATAGAAAGCCCACGCAGCAACCAGTGCAGCCTAAATTATAAATTAAAATTTTTAAAATTAAAAAATTCTTATCAAGATGTCTTCCTCTTCCAAAAACAATTCCAATCAAAATTTATTTAAAATTTCTCTCAAATATGTTACCAAATTCTACAGTAGTTCTTATATTCAGATGTGCTGTGTGCTTAGTCGCTCAGTTGTGTCCGACTCTTTGAGACCCTGTGGACTGTAGACTGCCAGGCTCCTCTGTCCATGGGATTCTCCAGGCAAGAATACTGGAATGGGTTGTCATGCCCTCCTCCAGGGGATCTTCCCAACCCAGGGATCGAACCCAGGTCTCTCACATTGCAGGCGGATTCTTTACCATCTGAGCCAATACTGAACTTTCCCCTGAATATTAATAAAAGTTCTAACAAGCAAATCTCAAAATATACTTACAAATAAATATTTATTCTCACCTCTAGACACTCCGCACAACTTTGAGTTTTAAATTCTTCAAGCAAACTGCAGTTTTCTGTTACAACTTTAGTTATGTGATACTTGTCTAAATGTTATTTTTAGGAGAGAGTGAGAAAAAATTTATTAAAAAAAATTGATACTGTTAATGTTCTCACTCTTAGGCTAGATAGGTGAGTCTGTGAAGTTAAACAACTGATAAAATGTTTCAGAAATGAATCTAATTGGTCTTATTTCTAGCTTATTATTACTCTAGTTCTAACTGTAGTTAAAAGTGCTCTGTAGTAACACATTCCAATCAGGCCTCATAATTACTCAAGTCAATTTAATAACACTGAGCTACAGTTTACCCAGAACAAAGTTCAACTAAAATTTCTGAAAAAAAAACCTGGGAAACTACTTTCTAAAATATATTTAGTATAAAAAGTAATTTTAAATGTCTTATTTCAACATTATAACTCTCAAGTCAAAATCAGACTTTTTTTGAAATGTTCTCATAAAAATGTAATAAAGTAATTCAAATGCAGCAGGTAATAACCAAAATTTATGTTAAAAGTTTACGAGACCTCATTTTCTATATTTTAAGCTGTTCTATAAAAGATTTTATTAATAAGTGGTAAATAATAATTTTATTGCAACAGAACTGTAGTCATGCCTCCAGCCAAACATATTCATTTCCAAGGCAAAAGTAGTACCTAAAATTTAACACTGAAGAATTTCAGAAGATGATGGGGACAGAATAAGATTACAGAACAAAAACCTGAACTTTGGGATCAGAGAGACCTAACTTCTTATCTAGGTTCTACTACTTAACAGACGAAAGAAGTATCATTTAACCTCTCAAAGTTTGCTCATTTCTAAAATAGGATCACAGCAGCTACCTTGCAGGGCTATTATAAAGAGAGAACAGAGACTCAGAAACAAGCCCACACAGATGCCCAGTACATGATACTGGTCGTCTAATTTCACCATAAAATCTAGTCTATAATTAAAGGCTTCCAAAAACAACAAAGAGAACCACCTCTACTCATGTAATACAGCCCAGCATCTAATAAATATCAGGAAAAGACCCTGATGCTGGGAAAGATTGAGGGCAGGAAGAGAAGGGGACGACAGAGGATGAGATGGTTGGATGGCATCACTGACTCAATGGACATGGGTTTGAGTAAACTCGGGGAGTTGGTGATGGACAGAGAGGCCTGGCGTGCTGTGGTTCATGGGGTTGCGAAGAGTCAGACACGACTGAGAGACTGAACTGAAACCTGTCTTCATATTTAAGCTTAATTTCTAACACCCAGGTCAAGAGTAGAAAGTATGCCCTCTACTCAGTGGATGTGGCAAATAATCAGTCACCATCAACTAAAGAATCAAATACTTCCTGTTTCAAGATCCCTATAAAAACACTGCTAACATTCAAATGCTTTAGAGAAAAATAGTTCACAAGGTAAAAAATATATAAGGCAGTTTCATCATACATGAAAGTAACAGATTCATCAGAAAAATGAAAATTATGGTTTTAGCTCAGTTACTTATTTCTCTTATGAATGAGAATACATGAATCCCAGGGTGGACTCTTTCTTTGGATATTATATATATGAACTCATGGCATCCATTTGGTAGGATGTTTAAAAAAATATATAGTCACACAAATCATCAATACAGGAAATACAGAATAAAATTAACTACAGGGTTAAAGTTCTCTTATTCAGTCTTTTCCCTTATGCACAAGAGAAAAAAAATTTTTAAAATCCTGAGATAAACACGAAATCACATAGCCATGCATTCTACCTTCCAAAATAATACCTTTATAAAACTAAGTAACAATTTACAGCATTTATACTTACATTCAGTAAAGAAAATACTTAACATACGCCAACAATTGTCAACTGCTCCTAATTTAGATAAAATTGTTACATCTCCTGTGTATTTCACCCAATTCAAAGCTTCTTCCATTGCCAAGATTTTCTGTTTCAAAAAGAGGGGTGAAAATGTGATTTATGTATTAATTATAAGTTTACATGTGGCATTATAAATTTCTCTTATATAGCATTTCAGATTTTTAATAAAAACTTGGAAAACTTCATATTTTCATTACTCTGGCATGCAACCTAGAACAGCTAGACCCCAGTGCACAAGTTAACAGAGACTATAGACTCACATATGTTACATCTTCATGGAACCTCAGGCTACCCTCAAAGCTCAAAATGCTGCTGCAGTGATTACAGAGCAAGAAGCTGAGGTCTACAACCTGGCCAGAGGCTGCCCTGTGGAGCAGGAGAGTCCAATAACAAAGGTGAACGAGGGTTCTCAGGTCTCATCTACACTAGGACTTCCATCCTTACCTCAAAAGTAAAGGTACAGATTAAGGTTAACAGAAAGTACTATGTATTTTAAATGGTCTGTGGCAGAGAGAAGAATAAGCATATACACACAAGAGGAGTGCACGGCTGGACAAGTGAGCGCTCAGTGCAATGACCTTAATCAAGGGTCAAGGGTTCACAGGAATGTTATCCTACTTCTAATGTCTGAAAAGACTTCAGAAACAGTGGCATTATCAGCGCTGGGGTCCGGCTTAAGGGAAACATGTATGTCAGAAATTCCCTGGCAGTTCATTGGTTAGGACTCTGCAGCCTCACTGCTGAGGGCCCAAGTTCAATCCCTGGCCGAGCAACCAAGATTCCACAAAGTGAGATTATCCAGTAATCATATACCAAAAAACGTTCACACGAGGGACCTAGTAATTTCATTTAGGAGAGAATATATGCCAGGTAAATAAAAGAGAAAAAACAATCAAATTGCAAAAAAACCCCCACAAAACTCAAAATCACATTGCATATATGGGGGGAAAAGTGAAAATGATACAAACCACCCAAATAAGGAGACTGCCTAGGGAAAATATAGAAATCCATATGACTAAATGCTACATAGGAATAACTGCCACTTATTCACAGTGCTGGATTCTCATGTTGACACTTACATTCTCTATTTTATAGCCGATTCTCAATAAGCCTCCGATAAAGAATGTATCATTCTGCAAAACAGAAAAAAAAATTTTTTTCTTTATTTGGCCAATTATACTTTAATTTTCTAGTGAATAAAAAAATTCTACATTTTAAGAATACTACTGTATGTACCGGACTTCCCAGGTGGCTCAGTGGTACTGAATCTGCCTGCCAAGCAAGAGGTCCCTGAGTCGGGCAGACCCCCTGGAGAAGGAAATGGCACCCCGCTCCAGTACTCTTGCCTGGGGAACCCCGTGGACGGAGGAGCCTGCTGGGCTACAGTCCACTGGATCGCAAACAGTTGGACACGACTGAACAACCAAAAACCACCGTATGTACACAGTAGTCCACTTCCCAGAGCAGTATCATGCCAGCTGACCAAGATCTTAAAGACTCTGAATCAAGTCAGAAATAGTTTTTTTTTTTAATATATATTTATTTATTTGTTTGGCTGTGCCAGCTCTTAGTTATAGCACAGGAACCCTTAGTTGCAGCATGTGGGGTCTATTTCCCCGACCAGGGACTGAACGCAGGCCCCCGGCACTGGGAGCTTGTAGTCTTAGCCACCAGATCACCAGGGGAGGCCCCAGAAATAGTCTTACACAGGGTTCTAATAATAAAATGATTTAGTGTAACTTTTAGATGTACTGATTTTAAAGTTCATTACACCTACAAATCTTTTTATAAAATTCATTGGCTTATATAAATTATTTCAAAGGATTATCTATAGGAAATAAATATCAGAATGCCCTTTCTAAATTTAAGTTTGCAACCAGAATTTGCAAGAAAAACACTTGGCCCCATAACCAAATGAAATAAAAGTTATTAATGGCTTTCAAGGAAAAAAAAAACCTTTCAGCACAGTACACAGATAACTCCTCAAATCTGACATGATAAAATTTATCCCAAAGAAAAAATATTTGTTGTGGTGGTGGTGACAATGACATGATTTTATAAGAAAGAACCTGTCACTTTCAGAACCTGTGACAAAGCTTTCTGTGAACCAGGAGCACACTCTCATTTGTGACAAATTCTAATTTCTATTCTTTAAAGATATGGAGCCAGCCTGGTTCTCATCATGTCACTTCAGAACCATGGAAACAGCCATCTACCTAACCTCTGAAATACACAGCACGAACTCATGCATAGCAGAATAAGCTCAGGTTGTGTTGTGCTGTGCTTAGCAGCTCAGTCATGTCTGACTCTTTGCAACCTTCATGAACTGCCTCACGCCAGGCTTCCCTGTCCTTTGCCATCTTCCGGATTTGTTCAGACTCATGTCCATTGAATGAGTGATACCATCCAACCATCTCATCTTCTGTCATCCCCTTCTCTTCTTCCCTGAATCTTTCCTAACATCAGGGTCTTTTCTAATGAGTCAGTTCTTTGTATCAGGTGGCCAAATATCAGAGCTTCAGCTTCAGCACCAGTCCTTCCAATGAATATTCAGGATTGATTTCCTTTAGGATGGACTGGTTGGATCTCCTTGCAGTCCAAGGGACTCTCAAGAGTCTTCTCCAACATCACTGTTTGAAAGCATCAGTTCTTCGGCACTCAGTCTTCTTTATGGTCCAACTTCCACATCTGTACATGACTACTGGAAAAACCACAGCTTTGACTGTATGGACCTTTGTTAGCAAAGTGATGTCTCTGCTTTTTAATACACTGTCTATGTATGTCATAGCTATTCTTCCAAGGAGCAAGCGTCTTTTAAGTTTGTGGCTGCAGTCACCTGGTAGCCCATACATGGCAGCTATTACTATTATTTCCTTTCATGGAAAAGGGTCAAAGATTTTCTAAATGTATTTCTATATAAATAGATAAATTGAAAAAATGGCAGAAAGGTTATGTCCTAAAGCAGTGGTATGTAAACTCTGAAACAGATCAGAACCATCCAAAAATAAAAGTGATCAAGCTTCAACTTCTGAGACTGATTTTGTGGATAGTCACTCAGTTGTGTCTGACTCTTTGCCACCCCCTGGACTGCACCCAGGCTTCCCTGTCCATCACCAACTCCTGGAGTTTACTCAAAACTCATGTCCATTGAGTCAGTGATGCCATCCAACCATCTCATCCCCTGTTGTCCCCTTCTCCTGCCTTCAATCGTCCCCAGCATCAGGGTCTTTTCCAGTGAGTCAGTTCTTCACATCAGGTGGCCAAAGTATTGGAGCTTCAGCATCAGTCTTTCCAATGAATATTCAGGACTGATTTCCTTTAGGATGGACTGGTTGGATCTCCTTGCAGTCCAAGGGACTCTCAAGAGTCTTCTCCAACACCAAAGTTCAAAAGCATCAATTCTTCAGCACTCAGCTTTCTTTATGGTCCAACTCTGACATTCATACATGACTACTGGAAAAACCATAGCTTTGACTATAGGGACCTCTGTCGGCAAAGTAAGCTCAGGTTAACCAAAACTAAAACCATTCCTATTAGCCAAGATAAATTAGTAGCATGGGCCTGCTACCATATAAATATGTATACTTCTGAAACAGGGGGGTGGGATATACATTCTATCACTTACCACAACTTTCTTTGCCAAATCCACAATATCTTCCATCAGCTCAAGATGCTGTAATTTCTTCAAACTTATCTCACAAGCAAGAGAACCGCTTAAAGACAAATTTATTTTTTAAAAGATTATGTTTTCATATATAAAAATTCATTGAATTTTATACTTGACTGACTATATTTTTACCTCAATTTAAACTATTGGAATAAAAATTTTGTTTCTTTCCTCTAGGTAATAACAAGCTATTTATTAAGCAGACAAAACATTACACCTTTTTCTTTCTTCTGTACTATAATGCTGATATTTATAAACAAGTATATTATTTCTTCCTTAATCTAATGCTCTTCAATTTCATTATGTCACCAAGATTATTCATTCATATGCAAATCCCAATATTACCTTCTTGCACTCTATTAAACAAAAGTAGAGTTAAACATTATATAAGAATGAGATATAAGCCTTCCATTGTACTGGCATCCCTTAGTGGTAAGGCAACACGCTTACCGCTGTTCATTTAGAAGGGTTTACCAGACAGTAACTCACCTGGTCCTTACACAGGGGTGCATTCGTGTTATTATAGAGCTCTGCTGACGTTGAAACAGAAGTGGCCAGAAGATGTGGACTTTAATGGCATCACAGTAATCTTGCAGGACAGAAACAGGTTTACTACACCACATAGTGCAGATGTCAAATTCTTAATCAAAAAAGAAGTTTTAAATTAATATTTTGTGCCTCATTTTGGAATGAATCAACACCATTAATGGAAAAGACAAAAATGGATATGGAAATGTATGAAATGAATGGATAAAATATCTGAATCTGTTGGATGTTAAGAATATCTAAATGTTACCTAAAACTATTTAACAAAGGGTTTTTTAATTTCTAGTGAAAAAGAACAGCAAAGAATAAATTCTCTTAAAGATATATAAGTCTATTATGTTGATGTGAATGCATGAACATTCTGTAGAAGCTGTTCCAACAAAATTAAAATATCAATGTACTCACCTAAGTTTCCCTCAGTATGGGTATAATCTTTGTACTGTCTACCCTAAAAAGGAAAAGAATTCTTTTGATTTGTGTCTGGTAAAACGCAGAAGTACAGTTCTAGATTTCTTTAAACCTTATTTATTCACTTTTGGTTGCGCTGGGTCTCATGCTGCACGCATACTTTTCTCTTTTTTCTTTTTTTGCATACTTTTCTCTAATTGTGGTGTACAGGTTTTTCTTCACAGCGGCTTCTCTGGCAGAGCACAGACTCTGGGGTGCCCAGGCTTCAGTAGTTGCGGCATGCAGGCTTAGCCGCCCCACAGCAGGTGAGATCTTCCCCGAACAGGGATTGAACCCATGTCCCCTGCACTGGCAAGTGGACTCTTTAACTACTGGACCACCAGGGAAGTCCCCAGTTCTTGATGTAAGGGTAATCAGTACTAAACTAAAAACCTTTCGGTACATTTACTTACAAAATTTGAACACATCTTCAACCGCTGTGTCTTTCAGCCTTTTTTCAGTGTTTCCCCCGGTCTGTTTCTATGGGTCTCCCCTGAGAGCCTTGCTCAGCTCCAGCCAGAAAACAAGCTTTTAGCAGCACTGCACCTGCTCCCCGGTGAGGCACTGCCTACTCTCCTGTCTGAAATGACCTCTGCAAAAACTACACATACCTCCCTGTAAAATTTCAAGTAGCACATGAAGGTTCTCACAAGAACAAAATAAAATGTATAACTATGTGTAGTGATGGACGTTAACTGAACTTACTGTGTTGACCTCACAATATATACATATGTTGAATCATGTTGTACATCTGAAACTAATGTCATGTCAATTATATCTCAATTAAAAAAAAACAACTTTAAGAAGACATCATATTAAAAACAAAAAGTTAAGGGAACTTCCCTGACAGTCCAGTGGTTAAGACTGTACATCCAATGCAGAGGTCATGTGTTCAATACCTGGTCGGGGAACTAACGTCCAGCATGTGGTGCGGTGCGGCCAAGAAAAAAAAAAGTTAAGAAATCTACTTACCACTCCATCACAGTAAAGCTGAGTCACACGAACATAATCATTGGACATAAACTCAGGGGCAAAGACACAATCGTCCACATAAGGGCCATCTTCTAACAAGGCATAATCTGCTACCGCAAAATTTCCCCAGGCAAAATCAGCCATGGTACACCACCCTGAGGACACAACACAAACCCAAATCAACAATGAAACCATCTGAGATGCCATGAGAAGCAGTTTCCTGACTTCTATGGTATGTTTGATAAATACTGGGAACTTATGCCCCCAGGAAGCAACTCTGAGGAGAACACTGAGCTCTGGAAGAGTCTCATCCTCATTTGCTAATCTCTCCCCTGACTCTCTTCAACCATCATTTTAATCTATTTCTTTTTCTTTAGGTTCAAAGAGTCATCATCTCTGAATTTAACTCTTTACATGTCTCTTTTAGATGGAAGATAATTAAGGGCAGCTTATTTCATCTTCGTATGCTCCCAGCCTGTGCTAAGCCCTCAAATAATGAGTTCAATGAGCGAACAAGACATCTTTCCACTGCTGCCCTTCAACTCCATCTGCTTTTACTGCATCTGTGAAATTCGCCATTTCATCATTCACAAGCTCTGCCACATTCTCCACCTCCTGGCTAGAACTAAACCTTGATCCACTGAAAGAAAGGTTTCTCATCCAGACCTCACTGTGTGTTGCTGCCCTGGGCACAGGGGCAGAGCTGCAGCGGCACAGGGAGAGCGTGGCCACCTCTCAGTTCCCACAGCCGCATCCAGACCTCCCAGCACTCGCTGCTCCTAATTCTCTTAACTGCCGCAGCGCAGGTCAGCACTGCTGGACAGAAACAGTGGACAGACCCCTCACGTTACCAACAACCACATTCTAAAAATAGCTATTTCAATGGGGGACAAGGGGCTGGAGCTGCAGACTCGAGTTTTTTTTTTTTCCCTGAAGAAACTTCAGTCATAACATGGTATAGCTGTCAGAGAACAGGTACAAAATCTAACTATCACTTTAAAGAACTCAGCATTTTATTACTTCTAACTCTTCTCCAAGATGACTCTGCTTTCCTAGCATCACCAGCACCATTATTAACAGCGCTTTTTAAACCTTTTCACTTCACCACTTTTCACTTTTTAAACCTTTTCACTTCACCACTCTATTGTTAGGATAAACCAAGTTTGTTTTTTCCTAACCAAGACCACCATCAGCCCTTGGAAAACACATCTGTTTCTTTAATTAATCCTTCTCATGTTCCACTTGCTGTACAACCACCTCCCAGTATCAGAAGTGAAGAACAATAACCACCTTCGTAGCAAACTGTTGGTACCATTTGTCACATAACATGCCAAGCGTTTTGCGTGTACCATCTCATCAATAGTCACAGCAACTCTCTGCAGGTACAATTATCACCACCGTCACTGTACAGATGAAAACATTCACAGCAAAACTAATCTGCTCAAGATCACCAAGCTTGGGGGGATTCAAACTTAGGTCTTCGGAGTCCTCGGTCTCCTCTCAAATGCTGTTTTTCACTAGATCTACATTTCCTTGTCATGGATCTAGCTGCCTCCCGGCTGCTGTCGAGTTAAAGAACACCGGCGACTAGTTCACGGTGCTCCCTCTCTCCTCCGGTCATCATTTCCGTTACACTAAGGTGGGCACGGACAGCCCTTCAGGACCCAACCCTTGCAGTGCGACCACCTCCTCAACTCAAATACACTTTGCTGCCCTCCTCACCTAGGCTCTTCCTTCACAGGCCGTATCTTGGATCACTGCCCAAGTCTAAACCAGTTTTTAAATCTGTAACTCTGATCAGCTCCTTGCTGACCACAGCCAAGAGTCATCACGGCTCAGGTCTCCCCGGTCTCCTACCACAGACGTTCTTCACCTTCATCAAGAATGCTTTTATTCCTCCCGTTCAAATCCTCCATTCTCCTTCATTTTCAGTTTCCTAATGTTGGGCTTCCACTTCCACCATTCAAGGGAAGTGCTTTAGTGAAGTCGTTACTGATCTTTTCCAGTAGACTGGATAACTACAATGTCTGGAACCTTCTGACCTGTTCTGGGTGACCAGTATTTCCCATTTAGAGAATTTAACTCCAAAAGTAAACAATGACTGAAAAAAATAAAAAGTCATTTTAGCACCCAAAGTATGGCACATGATATGGGACACATGCTATTCTGGGAAATACATACACGTTTAAACTCATTTTTTTTCACAAGTGTTTTCTGTATATAAATACAGAAAGAGCCAAGAACTGTCTGTCACAGCCCACACGTCACCATCACAGCATCGGATACAATACAATTAATGTGCTCATATGTGGCGGACTGAGCCACTGTGACACCATGCTGGTCATTCCCAGGCTGGCATAACTCACTGATACCATGCCCTACACCAACCGCACCGTCATTACACTGTAATTGGTGTTATTATTATTTTCTATTCTGTTTTAACCAGAGAGGCAATGCAGCATAGTGGTTAACAGCATGGACTCTGGAACCAGGCTGCCTGGGCTTGAATCCTGGCTCTCCCATTTCTTGAGTGTGTGATCTGGGACGAGTTACTTAACTTCTTGAGGTGTCTGTTTCCTCATTTATTAAATGAGGACAGCAATACTACCTATTTGATTAATCGGTTAACGTGTCAAGTGCGTTTACTAGCATGTGACGTATAGGGAATGCTATGAACAGGAGCTATGACTAACAAGCTAGATGAGTATTTTTTAATCCATCATTTGGATGCCTTCAACAAAATGGTCTCCCTTAACAGCTATGTCCAAAAGCACTTTTCAGCTTACAACTTACTTGGCGCTGTGGACCACTTCCTCCTCAGAACTCTTCATCTGGACTCCAAAGACCATCTTCTCCTGGTCCTCCTCCTATTCTTCTGGCTGCTCTTCCTCAGTCTCCATGGGCGCTTCTTCTCCATTCCCCGCCACCCAAAGGTCAACTCTCTCTTCTTCTCATGCTTACTCTCTCCACACCCATGGCTTACAACAGCGCTTTCTGAACTTTCATTATGTGCATAGCTTCACCACAATTTTTGCCATTTCCACAGGTCACATGTATTTTATTTTCTTAGTATTCCTTTTTTATTGGGCTCATTTGGCCTAAGTGATAACACCCGTGATATTGTAAGTTTGAAGTACAGCTTATGTTTTTCAGACACATTAGCATATATTCCTAACTATTGAAAAATTCTTTATCTATGTACTACTTTAAACTGTCTCATAACCCACTGTAGCAAACCATGACTAAAAATGCGGTTAAGACTCTCAAATCTCTCCAGGCTGGGTTACAACTCACAGACTTCTAGACTCTCCCTGTCATCCGCTACTGGATCTTAACCAAGATGTCCCATAAGCCTCTCAGATTCAGTGAGTTCAAAATCAAACATCCTTTTCCTCAAGAACAAATGAAACCAAGTTCTTTTCTCTTTATGTTACCAGTAAACTGCTCTACATGCCACCTGGTTACCAAATTTGGAGGTCAATCTAGACTCCCCAGTCTCCTTCAACATTTCTAACCAAAGTGACCACGAAGTCCTGTCATTTCAATTCCTATAGGAAACCCAAATTAGCACGCGTACAACTCTTCATGCCCGGGGCCACTGCCCTGGCTGCGGCTTCATCTCGTCTCCTCTGAACTACTTGAACAAGCAGCCTCCTAACTGGTGACTTGCCTTTGATCTTGGCATCCCCTAAAACTCTGATCGTAACATTTTATACTTAACTCAGTAGCTTCTCTTTATCTTCAGAATAAAGACCAAACTCTTTACTACAGCACAGAAGACCTTTTGTGGTTCTGTTCCTGCATTTCTCTATCACTCCATGACATAATGTAGATGCCAGTCCTACCCAGCTGCCTGTCATTTCTAAACAAACCTCATCTGCAGCCAGAATGCCTCCCAGTCCTTAGTACTCGATTCCAAGAAGCCTTTCCTGAACTTCTCACACCACCAAGTTTATTTTCACACCTCTTCTCTGTAAGCCCTGAGCATCCTGCTCACATTATTTTGATAGCAGTGTTCAGTTTGGTCACTGACGATTTCTCTCTGCAGGTTCACTATGGGTCCAAACGGTGCATTGTGCCCTATACATCTTTATTCCCTATCTCACTGTCTTCCAAAGTTTTAATTCACACTCCCCAAAGTAGAAAGCTTTGCCAAATCCACCTGCCAACTGTGCTGTTACCTATTTAATATTTTGATTTAGAATAACTCAACTTTCAACTTAGATATAAACTTGTTTTAATAGAAAATTTGTTATCACCAAGAAATCTTATGTTAGGACAGAATTTTTTACCTGACACAAACTAAAATGAACATACTACAAAAATTTAATGCAAATGTAAAAGACTTCTGATCCCATCTGTTATGATGAACCAAAGGGGCGTTTCATGACTGCAGAACAAAGTGGATGCTAGATTTTTTTTAAATGTTACTGAGCTCACAGAAATAGGGAACATTTAAAGTCACTTTTTTCTCCCAAAGCAACAAGCCTCTATTTAGAAACTAAATCTGATGGTCAAGATGACAAGAACAACATGGGACACAGAGCCATGGGCCAGGAGCAAAGTGAGAGACTAAAAGGGGATCCCACGGACAGCTCACAGCCAACGCTGGCACAAGCCCTATCAGAAGGAAAGTATCCCAACTCAGACTCTCAGAATTCCCACAGAGAAACAGCAGTCAAGGAAGAGCTCATAACTGAGAATCTCCAAGCACAGGAGGTGACAACCCACTGTGAGGGAGATAACAGAAAAAACAAGCAGTAATTTAGATCCCTAAGTACATCAGACATGGGAGTCACCAGTCTACAGAATATCTACAGATTCCAAAAAATGAGCAAGCGACAGGAGATTTAAAAAAATGACTGGGTATAGCTAAAAAGAATGGAGTGATACTTTTAGAAATTAAAAGTATAATTGTTAAAAATAAATAAAACAGATGGATCAAAGAGATGATTAGGCACTGTCAAGAAAACTGACAAAAAAGAACGTGCCTGATGAAATTATCCAGCATTTTAAGTTCTGGCAAAGACACAAGGAAGTTAAAAATATAAAAGATGAAAAATAAGTGATCTGGAAACACACACATACATACATATATCCACTTAAATCTTTGGAAGGAGAAAGTAGATAAAATCAAAGAGAAAATGTTTAAAGA